GCTGCCCTTCTGAGATAAGCAATCACAGAGTGCTATATCCAACCTCTCACTTTAAAACTCCAAGCTGAGACCCATCCACCGTCCCGTCTCCTAGCCGGGTGCCAAGTCATGTGGTCCATGGCCATGTCTGACAGGCGTGGATGTCATCAGTGGAGGTGACTTTAGCGATCACACTAAGCCCTTTATATTTATATTTTACTTACAGCCCTTGAAGTTCTTGGACACTCATTACGGTACCTGATCCTCCCCAGGATGAGCTCATTCCAAGACCTGAACACCTTTCAAATGGGTCTCTGCAGTCAGGCATGCCTTTTTTTTTTTTTTTTTTTAAGATCCTGTCATTCTTTTTTCTCAAAACTAGAACTTCTTATTTTCAGGAGTGTACCTATCGGGACCTCCCCCGCCCATCCTGATAATAACGATGATGACGTTAATACTGCTCAGCGTCATTGTCCATGTGATTTGTCCAGCTCTCTCTACCTTGGGCTTTAATTGTATGCCTCTTGCTGTCAGGATCTAACCAGGTCTTAGATCTGCATTTCATTAAAAGATCCTTTCCTTTCCCTATCGATCGAATCTCACGGAGTAATCGAACTCAATTCCAATTTTCCTTTGCAGGCGGGGTGTGCGCCCACCACGGAAGTGAGTTATGTCTGTTCAAGTGGTGCATCTTATGAATCTTGTTAAGCTTTGCTGCCTTGTAGCCCCACTGATGGAATATTTAATCACAGAAATGAGTTGGCTGAGATGATGTAGTGTGGGGAGCTCTGCGGTGTGTATCTTGCTGGCAATTGAGAAACAGATAAATTTGCCATTTGTCAGGACCACGCCGGCAACTCTGTATAACCTTCTGTTATTTATTTTTATTCTGTTTTACTTATTTATGAAGATTGGAGGTACTCTAAATCAATAGTTTTGTTGGGTAGGTATCATGAATATCTGCAGAAGACATTCGTTTTGGAAAGGGACCTGTTTATTAGACGGCAAGGACACTTGCAGGGTCAGTGTAAGAATTCCCTTGGGGGTCTCTACATCCAGGTTCCTGGAAGTGCTGTTTCTAATCACACTGGGTAACTTGAGGTATCTATGGAGAGTGCACATCTACAGCTATTCCTCTTCCACTTACAGCCCTCAGTTATACTGAAACTCTAAAAGGTAGGCCAAAGTCTTCAAGACCCACCTGGGTCCTAATTGACTGATTACATTTGCCTGGAGACTATGCCTCAAGGGGGCTGCAGATGATTAGACCCAGGAAAAAAAAATCAAAGCTACTTAGCTTTCGAGGAAAACACCCTCCTGTCTTTGGAGAAAATTTCTATGTGTTCATGGGATATGCTGATTTATGTACATCTGCTTTAGAAGCCTGGTATTGAACAAGAATTTTAAAGAGTTCATCTAGGTATGACTTGAGGAGAATTTGGGGGGGTGGGGGGGGGGGGAAACTTCCAAAATGAAAGGCCTTTTATAACAGTTTTCAAAATGCTTCCCCTGGAATGTGTGTGAGGGAGAGCAAATGTCATAATTTATCAAAGCAAATTAATACTGTTCAGCTGGTAATTAAAGGTCCTCATTAAGAAGTGAACTGCTTTCCCCACACCCACCCTGCGTTAGCAATAAAAAAGCACTCGGGGCATCAAAAGGTTATACACGAAAATCAATAACTTGCCATTTTATAATTAAAAGAGAAAATAAATGTTAGGGAAAAGTCCACTAAATTAGGAAAATTACCTTTAGGAGAGATTGAAAATATTGATTTTAATTTACAAAATATGTGAACTTTTCACGCCCCATTCTGAGAGACAATTGGAGGCTGGGTTGTTAATTCTGCATAAGCATCAGAAAATCAATAATTATGCTAAGGGAATATTATGAAATTTGTCATTAACACAACATCTTTCATACAGAGATGACTAATATAGCTGGCCTTCTATCTTAGGCAGACACAGGGCTGGCCTACTCAATACCCAAAGCCAACTGGTGAAAAGGTCTTCATTTCAGCAATCAGACACACCCCAAACAGCAAGAGGAAGCCAAGTTATTTTTATAGCTAGGGAAATGTAAAATGCCCCACAAATTCACAGTCATGAATCTAGAGATGGAAGATGCTGGTTATGCCTGGAGATGGAGATGAATGCCTCCCCATCTCCACCTCTGCATCCATCCATCCATCCCGCACAGGCAGTGCCTGAAATGTGAGGGTTAAGCTCCTTAGCTTCTCAGAGCTTGTAGGTCTTCAAATATTTCAAAGGAACTGTGCGAAAGTGGTGGAACTGCAGACGTTTGCTCATATTTCTGAATATCACGGACTCTGTCTACGCAGATGGGACAAATAGGGACGAGAGAGATCACCTGGCCTTGCAGGTGATCCAGGTATCTGAGGCATCAAGCACAAATACCTAGGTTTCTCCAGCTAACGCTTATTCTCCCAAGCTCTGCTTCCTTATTATTGGAATCCCTCATAGCAAAAAACCTTCCGTTGTTCAGGCTCCTATAAGGTTCTCCTGACACACCCAATTAACACGCCCTGGGATATGGTGGTAAGGTTTGGAATAATCCAGAATGATTATGTGTCCTCTTTTAAGTGTCTGGTTTGGACCCAGAGAGGTAGCATGATCACAGGACCCAGACAAGAGAAATTACGGCTATTTGTATCCATCCCCAAAGTTATGAAATCCTCTACCCTGGATGTACAGAACTCCGGGACAATTAAAGCCGGATTTAGAGATGTGGCCTGCTTCTGACCAGCGGTGAATTGTAGGCCAGCAATACAGACATCTGGTACCTTAGTTTTCTCCTTTACAAACTGTCCTGAGGGCCGCGCATATTCATATGTGTCACGTATAGAGAACAGCGCCTCTACGGGGAGGTACCAAGTACTCAGAAAACATCATCCCCTGACACTTGCTCTTTCCCCCATGGCCCTGCTCCTCAGGCTGGGCCCTGAGCTACTCTGAATGTTGCTCAGTGCTCTAGAAGGAGTGCACACCACCAGTTCCTTCCTGTACATGTGCATCCATCGGAACTGTGGCTCCGATCTAAATGTCCCCTTAAACAACACAGACACACACGTGGGACCTCAAGGAAATCCCTGGAGTCTTCCTGGTTAAGAAGGCCACGCAGGACAGAAGCTACCTTGCATGGGACGCGAAACGTGCACCTTCCTTTATCACAATTCCCATAGCGTCACCAGCCCCCACAGGAAGCCCTCCTGCCGCCTGTTCTTGACCCCATCACTTAGGGGAGAAAACCTGTGCACGGAGAACCCGCCACCTCCCCAGGGCAGCGTCTGCTCTCAGACCACTCAGGAGAGGTCATGTCTCTACAGGCTTGGACAAGATATCCTTCTGCAACACCTGCCGAGTCCACGTGCCCCTAAACAGACTGCAGTGCCCCGGATCCCAGGAATTGACCGCCCCCAGAATGACATTCTGAGAACGAAAGAGTTAATTCTCTCCTGAATTAAGAAAAGGGTCTTGCAGTCGAATAGTATGTCAGAATCAGCTCTTAGCTCATTTGGCCCCATGCAGAGAGGTGTTGCATTAACTGTTTGTTTTTATTTACGAAACGTGTTTAAGGTGCTGGACTATTTGGCCAGCACAACTATGATGTCAATCCCTTTAATCCTAACAAACATCTAAGAGCTGGTTACTACCATTATCCCCATTTGACAGATGAAACAACTGAGGCACAGAGAGGTTAAGTAACTTTCCAGGACCACACTGCTGGCCAGCGGGGGAGCCAGGCTCTGAGCTTGGCCGTCTGGGTATAGTTTCCGTGCTCCTTGCTGTACTGTGTGTCCTCTCGGGAGAGATGGGGTCCATGTTGTAACCATGGACTGTCCCGTGTCCCTCCTCCCCCACAAGGGCCAACACAGCTTCCACTTTACAGTGGCAGACTTAGTCCAGGCTCCTGGTAAATCTCACCCACAAAGAGCACCTGCAAATATGGCCGACCTGAAACCCAGAACTCTGCTCTGACACGGAGCCACTCCAGAGTTATCCAGTTTTAATTTTTAGTGCAGGGGTAGCTCGGCTTCCTGTGTTCCTTTCTCACCCACTAGGGCTGAGGCTCAGGGTCAGCAGAATGGCAGAAGTTGGGTGTCCCAAGAAGCAAGAAGGCCAGGGGCATGACTTACCGTCGGAGGTGGCTGAGTGAGGGACCCTAGATCAACTGGGAATCTACTTCTCCTCTCTCAGAAGCAAGAGCCTCATCAAAGGAAGACTCTTTTTGAATTTCCATGTGGCAAATCTACTACTGGGGTTCTAAGTGTTGGGTGTAGACTTGACAGTGAGCAAGAAGACCCCGGGCAGTAGTGAGGGGCCCAGCCACGCACATCTGGACAGGGAACCTCAGCCCCTGATGCTCAGGGCAGCCCTCTCCCACCAGGTGGGCCCTGAGCTTCCCAAGAGTGTGGTTTCCCTCTGGAGGGTGGTTGGTGCCAGGGCAGGGAAGGGGTGAGGACAGAGACACACCCTGAAGGCAAAGTAGAGAGAAGTGAAATTGCTAAGGGACATTGGTTAACTGAGAAAGAAAGACAGCATGATCCTTTCCAGTATTTTAAACAGGCCTTCTCTTACGTAGGCCCACGGGCTGTCGGGTTATGGGCATAATTAGGCCGACTCTCTGCTTTGCCAGGAAAACGAAAATGCGACCTCAAATGGAAATGAGTGACTAAAAGACACATCCAGGCACATAGAAATGATGGGCATGGACCCCTCTCCCTGTGTTCAAATGCAATTGAACAAAAGCCTCAATGCTTTCTCAGGACAAAACCAAAGTGAAATGTCCCAGGATCAGGGCCCGGTAACTCACACAGTGCACCTTTAATTTTTCAAGGGTTTTAAACACTGTTGGTTTTGCCCCAGGAAATCATTCAGAACTTGTTAGGACAGGGATTCACTGGGTTCAGATTATTTCACAAAAACCCATTATTTATCAGCAGGCAAAGCACATAGAGGGGAGACCAAGGGGGCAGCATGCCAAAGAGAACTTGTTTTTACCTGCATAGAACTCGGGACTGTAGACGGCACCCACAACTGGATTCAATTTCCAGCCTTCAAACAAATAAGCAAAAGCGTTATTACCACCTGGAGTCAACAACTTTCATCACTGCAAAGTAGCCGCAATTCAAACCGGTTGAAGGTTTTTCTGATTTAAAAAAAAAAAAATCTAACTAAAGAATATATATTTGGGGAATGCATTAAAATATTTGCATTTGAAAACTATACATTAAAACGGATTTATGCCCTTCTTTGATTTTCTGCCAACACAAGTTAATGGGATGGAAACTGCTAGCCAGCTCCAGGTGAACCTTCTGAAAATGATGTAATTAATTTTCTACCATATCAATAACATACTCGGACGATTATCATTCCTAATTATGACCCTGGGACTAGAGGAATTCTGAAGTGCTTTATGAATACCGAAGAAAATGGTACTTTATCCCCTGGAGATTTAGTGTGGAATATATTTTAATGCATCCAGGAGCCATAAAAATTCTTAATCAGCACATGATATCTAAGGTAACTTTCAAACACCCTGTCTGTGAGATTAACAGAATCCTGTAATTTTCCAAATGCTTTGGATGGAAAGTTTTCTTTAAAACGAGTCCTGGCCCTTCAGAAATTTTTCTCGAGAAAAGATCAGACAAGAAAATTCACAAGTGGAGACGCAGGTTACAGACCCGTGGACGTGACCCAGGGAACATCTCCTCAGAATGACCATCTTTGGGAGTTGTGGTCTTTCCTATTGGAAAGTCTTCAGGAGTGGGAGACTATACACTAGAGGACTTCTTTTTTTTCTTTTCTTTTTGGTACAAAGGATTGAGCCCAAGGGTGCTTAACCTCTGAGCCACATCCCCAGCTACTCTTTTATATTTTATTAGAGACAGGGTCTCACTGAGTTGCTTAGGGCCTCACTAAGTTGCAGAGGCTGGATTTGAGTTCGCCATCCTCATGCCTCTCAAGTTGCTGGGAGTACAGGCATGCACCACCACACCTGGCTCATTATAGGATTCTTGAAGAACAGAGGAGGCTGAAGTTGAGCTCTGCCTGTGTCCATGAGCAGAAAGTCAAATACCAAAGCTCCTGAGAAAGGGAGATGGTGACCCTGGATGTGAAGGAAGACATTTCCAAAAACAAGAACTCTATGGGACTTTCCGGAAAGTGGTCTGACTCTCTACCTGGCCTAAGTAAGGCACCTCCCTGAGCAGCTGAGAGGTGTTCCTGAGATCCATTGAGTAAAACAGAGGCCCCAGGATCTTTCAAGATCCAGAACTTTCTAAGAAATGTGTTGCTTCTGAGAACTTTCAGTTCTAACCTGAAAGAGCTGAATGGTTTGCATTCTTAGGATAAAGTTTTTCAAAGAGAACTTGGATCACCTGCAAGGTATTAATGGGGACTCCTGGGCTCCCTTTTAGACGTACAGAAGGGGACAAGAAGTTCTAAGGCTTTTTAAAAGTATTTACATGTGACACCGTCCTCTTTCACACTCACCATGTTTTGCCTTAAAGAATTCACAGCATGTTTCTAATGAATGTGCAAAATGACTTCAATTTCACTCACTGAAATTCCACCACTTCCAAAAAAAGAAGTGGGGACATGGGGCTCACACCCACATCTCAAGTTATTTGGAGTCAAGAAAAAGAAATAGAGCAGTGAGTTTGCATTCAAGGTGTAGACATCTTTAATGTTTTCTATCTTCCTAGTACTTCACGGAAGTCTAGAAAGCTGAAATATCTGGAATCACACAAACTGAGGAATTAGTGATTCTTCTCCTTCTCCTGCCCCTATTTCTCCATCTCACACCTGTTTAGGGTCCTATTTTTTGGACCATGGAGATGAAGCCTGTTCATCCCCAAACTCAAGTTTTGTTTCTTGTATACATCCTCATTAGCTCCCCTACATACGTTTTTTTGGTAGGTAATCCTGGGGCACACTATTACTTTTGATGTCACTGTCAAAGACTGGAAATAATGCCAATGGCCTTTTATTATCTTAAAGAAGTGGATTTCTCAGAGGTGTCTAAGACTGTCCAGAAATCTCATTATTCTCATCTGCCTTCATCTTCCTTGTTTATTTGGGCCCAAAATCCATCCATCCATCAGTCCATCTACCCATCCATCAGTCCATCTACCCATCCATCCATCTATCCATCCATCTACCCATCTGTCCATCCATCCATTCATCCCTTTGTCTGTCTGTCTATCTATCTATCTATCTATCTATCTATCTATCTATCGACTGCTTATGTATCTACCTCTCAACTAACTTGTCTGCCTGCCGATTTGGCACCTATCTGCCTGTCTATCCATCTGTCATGGATTTTTTATCTGCCTACCTACCTACCTACCTATCATCTCTCTGCCTATATGTTTGCCAAGTGTACTCATGGAAAATTCGCCGTCAGTTTAAGACTAATATAAATTAAATGCCATTCTCCCTGGTCAGGTCATCCATGCCATCTCACATCTGAGCCACCAATTGAGAGAGGTGAGCAATGAGGTCTCCTCTGCAAGAATCCAACTTGGAATGTGTGAGCTACAAAAGGTAATGCCTCTGCTTGGCTGGTTGCAGGAGCATCAGTGCAGATATCACAATTCTTCCTGTCCCTGTCCTTTCCCCTAAATGAGGCTGCTCCCCTCCCACCACAGGGACATCAGGGACTTTTCTCAATGGTAGGATAGGCATGAAAACTCAGCTTCTAATCTCCGCAACCCTGACGCCTTGTTCCTTCCCAAGTCAAATGAGCTGTCTTCATCCCCTGGTCCCCTCAAAATAACTCCTGATGAACAGTTCTCCCCATTCCCTCCTGGTCCTCATAAGGGATTTGCAATCCACTAGAGAATACTCTGTTGGGCCTAGAAAACTTCTTCCCTTCTTCTCCACCGCCACCATCCCAGACGGGACACTTCTACCTCTTGCCGGACATGCCCCACAGCAAGCTCACTAACTGCTCTTCCCTGTTCTTCCTCCCTCCCTCTCTGGCCCCACTGCAGTGGCCACAGTGATGTGTGAGAAGTTGATTAGGATGTGTCCCTCTGCTGCTCAGAATTCAACAGCTTCTTTCTGGACCCAGGACGAACACAGATTCCTTACTTTGGTCTAGAAGCCCACACCCTCTGACCTTTGCCTGTTCGTTTTGTACCACTGTCCTCTTCTCTCCAAGCCACAGTGGCACTGGGCCATTCCAATCTGAATAAAACCACCCAAGACTATTCTGGATTCAGGCTTTGCCCCCTGTGCCTGGAGAACTCTACGCAGCTCTTCACAAAGTTGTCTTGGTGCATTAGGTCTTCAAATTCTTCCCAGAGTATGCTTCTTTCCCACCTTTCTTAGAAGGGTTTTTCTTTGATTCAATGGCCAGTTATATTTTTTGCATGGCTGTTTAACACCACCTGAATTTTCATTTTTCTTCTGTGTTTGTTCTTATTTTCTATAACCACCTCATTAAAATGAATGGTAAAAGTGAGCAGGCACTGCTGTCCATCATGAATCCCCACCAACTGAAAAGTTTTTTAGGCAAATATTAGGTGCTCCGTAAACATTTCCTTGGTTTCCTTCTGAAAGAGCAGAAGGAACACAGAGCTCTCTCTAACGGACTCGTTGTCTTTGGGCTCAGGTGGTTTCCTTCCACCCTTCGCCGACCTACTTCCTGGTAGACGCTTTATGTCTAGTGAAGGACCTGCTAGCAATTGACTGTCTTCCAGGGAGAGGCAATGAGAATCCAGCCCTTAATATCACCTCTGCTCAGATTTACAGACCTTGTGCAGGCTTATGTAAATGAATGCAAATCATATGCAAATGAACCCATAGTTTCTGCAACTCCTTCTAGTACCTGGAAGAGACCCTTGGGATAACCCTGCTGGAGATGATGAGCCTGCACTGTCAGGGAGACGGGAAAATGATCCCGTTTTAAATTTCCTAGGCAGTTTGTGTACGTCCCCAGGCCTTGCAAATTCAGAGATTTTGATCAAGGACATTAAACTGAACAATGAGGCTTATAACAAAAAAGAGAACAGCTGATAAAGCCCACCACTCCCAGCATCCCAGGGCCTCCCTACAACAAGGCAATGGAGCAGAGCCCTGGCACGTTGGGTCTCGCTCCAAACCAGACACAGGAGTGGTTTAGAGAGAACCCCCTGAGGTTGGGCCTCAGGAGCTGCATCTAAATCAGCAAGCACTTCTCGCCCCAAATTTAGCTTGCCATCCTTTTTTAAAGAACAGACCAGAACCCCCCAGTGTGGGCTACCCCTGATGTGAATTAACAGGAGCCCAAAACACACGTGGCCTTTTCCAGGGCTCTGCTGGGCTGAATATCAAAGAAATCACATTCCAGAAAGTACCCTCAAACACCCTCCAGGGGTTCAAAACCTGCAGGGGGGGGGGGGGCTTCCTAAAGGATGCAGCAAGGGTGCAGGAGACAGAGCCCTGATGTCAAAAGGAAGGGAGGCTAATTGGTAATTGCACATCATTTACAGGAGAGTTTGGGTTTGGTTGACGTAATATTTGTTTCATTTTTTCCTAAATGTGGATTTATGACCAACGTTTAGATTCTATCAAAAAGACATGCTTTCTGGTGCTCTGGAAATGGTGCTAGAGATGGCCACTTTGAGTTCAGAATCCCCCAGACAGCTCTGTCAGCAAGGAGGGGTCTCTAGACAATGAAAGATGGTTCAAGACTGAGCTTCCCAGACCCTCTCTGGCCTGTTCATTTTGTCTTCTCAGTCCTTGTTAGGGTCTGGATACTGGATCCTTAAACTGGTGCCTATCAGGAATTAGCATCCACAGTGAAAAAGGAACAAGATGACTACTTAGTATTGAGATTGTTGGGTAATTAAATAAAATTGTAGTACAAATCATTGTGAAAAAATAATCAGGGTGCTTTGCACACCTAACGTTGGGTGGAGTGCTTTCTCTCCCATACGGATGACGAATATCTATGACAGTGTGATAGGTTCAGGTCCCATGACATGTTCAGTTCCAACTTGAGAAAACTGGTGTGGGTTGAGTTGAAACAACTTGCATCCAGTTCAAAGGCCAGTGAGGAGCACAGCTGACTGATGGAGGAAACAGAGTCCCCCTCTCTCTATTGTCTGGGAGGCTTAGGTTCACTGTTCATCGCTTCTAAAAATCTCTAAGAAATGAAGCAGTCATGTCTAATGCCCAGGCTTCACCCTCCATATCCAGATCTTAACTCGATTGGCAGATCCAGCTCTTGATACCTGTGTACACAGGGCACTCGGCTCCTTTGTGCAGGTAGGTCTTCTTGGGTGTATGAGTCGATGGTGTGATTCCCTCTTTGCAGAGCTTTCTGACAGGTACAATTTCCAAGCCTGTATTTCCGTCCACAGCACTCTCTCACATCCATGCGTAAAAGTCCTGGGAATAGAACCTGCGCACTCCATAGGTGTACTGACCATCATCCTCCACAGCAGCACCTCCCAGGAGCGTGTCTCTCGCTGCATCTGAGGTCAAGTCTTGGGCATCATTGGAAGCTCCTCAGGTGCTGAAACTTTGGTTGGATACATGATGGAAAGAATTCGTGGGTGGGATGTGGGCCCTGAGGCCTATATTCCTCCACTTGAAGATAACTTGAAACTTGGAGGATCAATAATTTGTAATTCTGTTAAAGCATGATTTCCATGGTTTGTGATAATTATACAGCTAATGAATGAACCTCAGTGATAGCTTTATTTTTTCACTTTAACATGACTTCCTGGATCCTGATTGATCTTTCTTCCCCATACCTGTACCATCTTCTGAGGATTTTAAGAACCTCGTGGTTTCCCAGTTAATACCACACTGCAATTTATGGGACATTTTATTTATAGTGGTGATGTTTACTTCCTAATCAAAAGAAAAGACTTCATTAATTACTTGTCTCATCTTGGCTCCAGTTTTTACTCTCTCTAAAATAGGATGAATGGTGTCCTTTTTGCAAGTTTTCATTTGGTGCCTTTAGAATACTTCTCAGAATGCATACAGAGAATTCCAGAAGGGTTGACTATTTATGAATTGGCTTTGAATTGTGTCCAAAAGTACTACAGGTATGCTTTCCATAGTTATGGATCTGTAACTCTTACTTTAAAATCAATGTGTATATGCATGTATTCCCACGGCTTACAGAATAATATTTGGCTTCCTGGTTTCTCACTTGGCACACGTGCACCTTCGCCAGGCAGGCCCACACACCTGAGCTTCCACGCATGTGCACACAGAGCTGTGACTTCATAACTCAAGAAAATGCACAACAGTCAGGCTTACGTCACCATAGACAATGGGCAAGTTGCAGAGCTACAGTTTTTACCCAAAGAGATGGGGCTCCTGATACATAAATCAGAGGTTCAATTCTCTTTAGTGCTGGGAATTCAAGGTCAGTTGTTGAAATTGTCTGCACCATTTAAGGGTCTCTTTTGGATTGTTGAAACCAGGAAAAGTGGTGAGAAGAAAAACAATTCTGTGGTCTTTCAATTTAAAGCCACATTATATCAAGGGTGGTCAACTGTAGTGTATCTGCCCTCAATATAACGGTGCCCCTTTCTAAATTAAGAACAGATTGACTATGTCTACATAGCCGTGGGCAGAAGGAAGAGGAAGAACAAAAAGTATCAAATGCTAATATTATTGTTTGTGTCACTTAAACAAATGCAAAAATGCAAACAATAAAGCATCGGTTTGCAGTGAGATTCTCAATACACCATATCCATTTTTGTGGAATGTTATGTAACCACCCAAAAGAATTATTTTGGATCTCTATGTATTAATGGAAGGACTCCACGTTGATTTATCAAGGCCCATTAAAAGCAATGCACCATTTATGTCAAAAATGTGTACACAATGCTGTGAATCCTATTAAGCTATATCTACTATACATGTAACATAAAAATACAACTTAAAGCCGAAGGCAAAAACCTGTAACTGCTTCCTCTGAGTGGGACAGAGGAGAACAGGCTGGCAGTAGTACTAGTAGTACTAGTAGTACTAGTAGTACTAGTCAAAAGACTTTGGCTCCGTCTTGAATGTTTCCTTCTTTTGAAATTGTTTTCTTTCTTTAAAGAATTCTGTTTCCATATTTCATGTATAATTAAAACTTCAGATATTTCATATACTTTTACCTTTGATTGTAATAAAATTATATCATTTTTAAAAACATATAAGCCCAAGAAAATATTTTCTTATCTCACAATTCAATGAAATTTTAGCATTTTGTGAAGTTGCTTAGATGAGATCAGACTATCCACATATTTTTCTGTTACTTAAATATTTTTACTTATGGTAGGACCCTTCCTTGCCTTTATCCTGCTCATTTTAATGGGTATAATATTCTACTAAATGTATGCACTTAAATTTACTGTGTTACTTTCTTTTTAGTTTCTAATACGATTCAGAATGTGATTGGTATAACTAATTTCCCCACGAACACCTTAAGAGAGATTATTTTGAGGAGGATTAAAGAATCAAAATGTTTGAACATTTTTAATAAGGTATCATATCCATATGGATTGGTTTTGTGAGTTTTGAAGAGCTTTCTTGGTAGAAACAGGACTGCACTGTCCTAAAGGGGTTTGCAATACACTGCCACCTCCTTCCCTGGTGCCAAGTGGCCCTGGGCACACAGAGAGGCAAGGCACGCGTGGCCCACTCACACATTCTGCTCTCCCACTGCGACTCACTCATGAGAAGACACCCTCCCAGGCACCCCAGGCGCTGGGCATCTCTGGAGAAGACTCAAAGCCACAACCACATTGAGTGGCCACACCTCTAGGAATGAGCAGTGATCAACCGGGACATGGGGGCTAAAAGGGCAGAAGAGTCAAACCTCCCTCCTCCTGCAGTTTAATAGAGTAACAACAAATTACCCAACGAACTCCCGGATAATTGCTGGATCTCCATCCCGTGTGGGAGTCCTCTAGAGAGGCGGGAGGAGGGCAAGCACACTTAACCTGAAAACTAGGTTTGCCTTTGCTGTGAAAATTATCCCATTGATTTAGGTGCTGCCTGCTGCAGGTCAGCCAGAAGGACACAGGGGCCAGGGAGAGGCAAGGGGTCCCTGGTTAAGTAATGTAACAGTTGTAGAGCTGGAGAGGATTTCTCACAAAAGGCAGGGTCTACTTACCGTTTGTATAGGGGTTCACGGTCTTTTTATTTGTCATGACGCGAGCCGTGGCATTATTTACCTACGCACATAGAAAACTCCAATGAGCGCATATTCCAGGGCCGGCCTTCAGTTCAGTTAGTTGCATGCATTATGACTGTGATTACTTATTAAAAACAGAAAAAAACAAAACTAAAATGCATTTTAATTTATAAAAGGCAATATAGGTGCATAACAAAAAAATCATACATTTTTATAATTACATTTACTTCATAACCATTTTAACTTACAAATCATTTCAATAAAGCAATGTCATCTCATTTAAAAGTTTAATAAAGAGACAGTAAAAGCAAAATTAAAAGATACGGCATAATTGAAGATTTAAAAGCATGCGTGTACTCCATGGTGACACAGAAACAAGAAATCATTTTTTTCTTAAACATAAAATAAAGTTCATATGAAGGGACATGCAGTGGAGTAGAAAGGGAAGAGACAAGGTACAGGGAACATAAATGTCAAAAGAAGGGACAAACAAGTTTAAGCCGTGTGCAACACTTTGGGAGGGAAGGACCATCTGGAAGCAACATATAGCATTCAACACTTGGAACGAGAGCCTTGAACATCGCAGGAATTAACAAATCATTCAAGCTTTTAAAGTCACAGCTAACAAAAGGATAAAAGAGAGGGTGCATTGTGTAACACAATATGGAGTTAACAATCTGAGTAAGATGTGCACCGGTCATAACTCAATCCAGTCAGAGCCTCCCAGGCTAGCTTAGAACGTACACTCAATTACAGGCGTACCAATATCCAAAAAAATAGAGCATCAAGAAAACTTAATACAACAAGTCAGAAAACTCCACGTGGTAGATAGATATGTATAGAGATATATCAGCACTAAATACGTGAAACGGCAGATGGACTTCACCACTTACCATTCAGCACCATCGCCAGCATGGTTTGTATACAGTTACCATGGTTACTGAGAGTTTGGTGAGGGGCCTAAGCGTTACCGTCGAGGGGGGAAATGAAAGGCAAAATATGCAACATCTTACTCCAAAGACTACAGCATTTTTAATTGGTATTTTTTTCTTTTTTTTTTTTTAAGTTTTAACAAATATGACCCTGTGGCTACATTGAGGGGGATCCCAGTGGCACAAATAACAGACTCGGAGCATTCGAATTTTGGTACTTGGATTTTTCAAAGAACAGGGGGCCAGATATTGAGCAGGAAGTCCTTTTTGGTTATTCACTTTTCAATCAAAAGAATGCCAAAAAAAAAAAAAAAAAAATCCAATTTACTTTTTAAAAAAAAAAATGAAAGGTTTCATGACAAAGTCCTCTCATTTTTTTTTTTTTTTTTTACACGAATCTTTGGAATGGCGACTGCTTTCACAATTTGGTTAAATTTGCAAGCCACTGAGGATCCCTCTTCAACCCTGAAGCAGAAAGAAAAAGAAACTCTCCTGCCTTTGGTTTGATCTGCAATACTGTCTTCTCTTTGGAACCTACTGCACCCATTGTTCATAAAACATGGAAAATAAAATTAAAAAAGAAAATAAATAAAAAAACCTTTCCGATTAACCTTTCTTTTGTTTCACTTTTGCCATCCACCTTTCAGCAGTAATAAGATTAACACGATAAAGTAAAAAATCAACAACAACAAAAAAGTAAGGCCAGTTTTCCTTTTTATATATAGATAGATAGATATATATATAAACGATGAGAAGGGAGTGGGGTCACATACAAGACGCCAAAGATGCATCCGGAACAACAAATGAGCGTGAAGCAGACATTGATAAAAAAGATGAAAAGGAAAATATTTTGAACATGCACCTCGATTTTACGGCCCTCTACCACGGTGCCGTGTAATTTCTCCCTCGCCCTGTCCGCATCGGCACTATTTTCGAAAGTTACGAAACCAAATCCCTGCATGCAGGAGGGAGAAGGGAAAACAACATGCATATTATTATTTCCATCAACGACCACTTCGTCACGTTCTCTCGCTTTAATTTCTACTCCTCGTCCTGACTTCAGTTCTGTAACATGCAAATTAGAGAAATTATAAGAGTACTAAGATGTGCAATTATTAAGCGACCAATGTGAACAAGATTGTTTTGTCTGTCACCGGTTAGCTGTACCCACCCCACCCTCCCCAGGAAGAATTCCAAGAACGATTCCAAAAAAATACCCTTCTGAACGGCACTACAGAAGAAAGGAAACGTAACGGAAAGAAAATGAGATCAAAATAAAGTTACGGTGTCTTCACAGAGAATAAAATGAGATAACGAGAAAAGAAAGAAAAGGGGACCACTTTCTGGACATGCAAATTAAAAATAAAATAATAAAGTAAAACGTGTGCACAGAATTCAACAGTGAATGCCAAAATCCTCCATCATTGCCTACGGAGTCATGCGGTGTGGTTTTTAAAACACCTCTTCCTCATGCAACCTTAGGGTTATTCGAATTTGTCAATTCTACAGCCTTTACTTCTCAAAAAAAAAAAAAAATTCAAAGCCTAAAAAAAAGGAAAGACCTTTTTTTTTAAAAAAAAATATAGATAATAATAAATCTTAAACTCTTGGAGCGGATAAACAAAAATAATCACATGAAATGAATAGAAAGAAACTTCTGTTGATCAATAGTGCAAATAATTCAAGGAATGGCTTATATTCATACCTCCCCCACCCCCCTGAATAACATCCATGCTTTTGAACCGAACAAATTTTCACATGACTTTGTTAACTCAAAAGGGAAAATGTGTATATGTATAGTCAAGTTCAAAGACGCTATGCTGGTATTCACCTGTCATAGCAACAGGTGGCATCTTAAGAAGCTCCACGGACAAAATGTGACTTAGAGTAACACTCTGAGCTCCTCCCCTTTCCCTGATGTAGGACAAATATACCCTTGGCTTCACCACAGGTACATATCGCTTCTAATATTTCAGCCTCAAAAACCAACCCCACTAAACTTCATCCTGTCAAAATCCATCTTTTGTCTCCACCTCACACTGTTCCTAAGAAGAGTACAGAAAATAGGACATATTATTTTTTTAAACCCCTAAACACATTTGTACATCTTGTTCAAAAATATGTACACCAACCTTTTGAACAATTCCAGTGTAAATTTGCCCAGCTCTTTGGGTTTTCAGTGTCAAGCGAGGGAAATAATGGGTTCTGTTGGGATTCTATTTGAGCTGGGTAAACCTTACGTCAAGGTAAGTAAATGTTTGCTCTAACTGCTTAGGTGAGTCAGTTCGATGTTCGGTTTTACTGATAAAATGTGCAGTAATTACCAATAGGTAAGGAGCTATGATCAATTGATATTAGCTCCTGATTCTACAGGAATCTACCATGACCCACAAATAGAAGGCTGTTACAGACAGGCTGCCCATGGGCTGGTCAGAGATGAATTTCTGCCCGTAAGTTTGGACTCATCCACTGAAGACAGGAGCTGTGGATGTGTTCAAGAGAGGGTCGATTGATGGTCACTTGTCAGGATTTCACATTTAAAGAAAAATTAAGTTTCTTTACTTTGGGAGATTGGATGAAATAACTTTTACCATCCTTCCCAGAGTAAAGATTTATGATCGGAAGAAGCCTGAATTATGTGGTCAATGTAAGATTACATGTTCCACAAAAGAAGGATTCTGCCTAGTTTTGTATACTTCCAAACTGGGTGCCAAAAAAAAAAAAATACTTGTTAATTAAATAGTTTTGAAAAAAAAATAGTTCTGCAAAAGGAAAGAGACAGATTTTTCCTCCTCTCTCTCTGTTCTACCTCTTGGCCAGTGGGTCCTAAACCTAGTTAAACATCAGAAGGAATAGGAAAGATTGGGAAACATTCAGATTTCTGGGCACTGTGTCCTGTCTACCGGATCAGAATCCCCGAGTGGAGCCCAGAAATCTGTTTGCCTAAAAAGCTGTGAGATATCCATGACCTCTTGTCACCCCATGTGCTATCAAAAGAAGGACTTGGTTCCTTGTAATCAGTAGAATTTTATATCACTCATTTTGATGGAGTAATCTGTGGGGCAGGCTGAGTTTATAACTTCTCATCTGGTGCTTAGATGTAGGGGTACCTTGAAGATTGCAATGTCCAAGGGCTAGGCCACATCCTTTTTCTCTGTGGGACCAGCCACCTCTATTACCGTGGTGGGGAGGAATAGCTTAGGTGAGCTGACCTCTGGGCACCCCTGCCCTGCATTATCCTGAAAGCTCTCGTGTCTCACTGTGAATCCTGCTGGCCTGAAATCAGCATGCCGTGTATCAAGGAGAGGTGAAGGTGAGCTAGAAGCATCTTTGGGATCCTAAGGAAAGTGCCTACACTACAAGGGAAAACTCCAAACCTGTCCCCTCACTATAAGCTACAGAGGGGATTCCTTGAGATTTGCCAAGATTGGGTCTGAAACACAGCTCGCCCCAGAAATAGTCCTGCCAATACCAAAACAGGCTTTCCTAACCTCTTCCTTGGAAATTTCCATCTCCCGCTCAGGCCAGAGTGGCACGGCCTTCCCAGGTCCGAGGTCATCAAGTTCCTACCTGGGAGCTGCACTGGGACTAGAGAGAGGCCTGCAGCCCTCGGCACCACCAAGGACACTCTCTCCCTAGCCCAGCTGGCTTGGACGGCTGCTGCCGTGGTTGCTGCCTTTGACCTGCCTCGCAGTCAGAACTGCATCTCAAGAAATCAGCAACCTGCAGTTCTTGAAAAAGATAGCCATGTTTTTTTCTGTCTCGAAAAGGAGAACAAACAAGCCTACTCTGGACTTGGCTTGGGGAGTGCAGGGACCACATGAGCTACTGCAGCGGAACCCCTTAAAGAGGAAGAGTGCAAGAAGAGGGGCCACCCAGAAGGTGGCCACTGCCCTTCATCTGAGAGGTAGCCTCCCAGGGTCAACTGTGACAGGGGGCTGGAGTGGAGAGAGGACTCAGTGCTTCTTGCAGAGAAGACATCTGTGCCGCCCTTTGATGGGCGGGCATGATCAACAGGCCAGGTGACAGGGGCCCCCAGATGGGCGGCCAGACCAGCGTGACTGGCTTATTTTAAAACCTTTCTGTGGATCATCAATTCTGACCTTCCTCTACTGCAGTCACCTTGCCTTTTTGATCTCTGGAGTTTTAGGTGACACCTTCCTTTTTTTGTATTTATGTAAACGCCCATTCTATATCTTAGATAAAGGTCCTGAGCGGCTGGGATGGATGAATGGGATGGTGTTTCAGTCTGTGTGAATAATCAAGGCCTTTGGTCTCTGGTGCAGGGAACTGGTCTTTCCGAGAGGAGAGGTAGGGGAGGGACTGAGTTTCTTTCCTGGGCACGAGCAGCAGCGTCCTGTCTACCCCTCCTGCCTTCTCCTGCCTGGCCAATGTCCACTCATCCCCACTCTTGGCTCACAAGTCCCTTCTTTCCAGAGGCTTCCCAATCTCTAACCACACCGGTCTGCCTGTTTGGATCTTCACGGCCTCCCCCATCAGCCAGGGACACGGCACATTTAATGGCCATGGCTTGTCTTCACCATCTGTCTCTCCCTGTGCTCAGGAAAACCTCTGAGGACAGGAAGCACTTCTGTCTTGCCCCTGTGTCCAATACCTGCATATACACGGAATCAAAGATCAGACTGCATATTTCCTAGGTCTACCGTTAAACCTGGCTGTATTCCCCCCAAACCATGCAGAGATAAACAAAATGATTTAAATCTTCTAAAAAGAAAAAGGGAGTGGGTTTCCCAACCCTAAAAGCTATCCAACTCTGGTTCTCAAAGCCCAGTGGGTTTTTGTACCTGTGGCTTTTCTGTGTAGTCGGTATCTGTATTTTCCTAAATTACTTAGGCTGTATGTTCCCAGAATATCCCGGAGGCTGCAGTGTATGCACAGGTGCCCATGCACACGCACACACATGCACAGAGCCGTCCGTCCTTGCTGGCACTAAGCGGCCTGCCTCAGGGACTGCACCACAGAGAATGAGTGGCCACAAGGGGAGTCTTGGCCCAAGAGGGCCCGACACCTTCCGGCTGTCTCTCCTGCACTGAGTGATAGAAATAAGGTCATCACACAGTTCAGTTTTCTTAACCACTAAAATGAAAATGCTCCTCTAAAGAAGGCCCTTTCCCATGAAAGATAATGTCAAGTGTGACAAATATCCCTGTGGGAGCCCCTGCCCCCATTTAGCAGCTAGCTCCCAGTTGGACTGTCTCAGTGACATTCCAGCTGCACCTGACCAATCCTCTCCCACCCCTACAAGGCCAGCTCCTGAGAAGGAGCTACCCACTGAGAGAAGGAGGTTATTTTGGATGCTTCCTAATGCAAAAGAAAAATGGGGGAAAAATAAAAAAAAAAAGCCTAATAAAGCCAGGTTCTGGATGTGGCAAACTTAAATGGTCTTTTTCCCAAAGCCCCCAGAGACAGGCTAATCATGGGAATGACGAAAGAAGCTCAAAAATAGCACTACCATTGTACTTTCAAAATAGCAAACCATATTCTTCTAATGTCCCCAAACAGCTCTGGAAAAGAATTCAATAGCTTTTTTCAACTGGCAAAAGTTACAAAACAAAATATGAATTCAATAGAAAAGTTTTACCAAAAAAGCAAGTTAACAAAAAAAAAAAAAACACCACCACCACCACCACCAACAACAACAAAAAAAACTTTCAAAGTAGGGGCACGATAGGCCGGCTCAGGGTTAGAACCAGCAGGCCAACATCGGGGCATCTTCCAAGACCACCCCCCCAAGAAGACATCAGGCCAGTGTGGAGAGCATCAGGCCTGAGCTTTGCTTTGCAGATGAGGAAGGAGTCCCTCTGGGTCATGATTTTCATACAAGATGCAGGAGGGTTAACTGCTCCCTCAGCCCCAGCTAAGAGGCCAAACTAAACCCACCTGTGATGAGAATGACCGCAAAACACCTGAAGTTAGAGAAGAAAGACAAAGTCCCTGAATGATCAAAACCATGGAGCACAACGGATTGATTTTTTTTTTTTAATTCATCTGGCAGATCATCATATCATCTTGTCCGTGGCAGAGAGAATGCTGGAATTTTCTTTCCTCCATTTGATCAATATTGTCCTATTCATTTAATATGAAATCTACTTAGGAGGGAGGAGGGTACAGATGGTCCAATGCTTGCCTCATGGGGAGGATGGATTATGGACCCAGGACAGCGGCTCTGTGGCCCAAGACACACTGGATAAAACCAGCACTGATGTGACCCTCCTGGACCCTAAACTGTCCCACATTGCCTGCGAAAGGAAAGTCAGGGGGCCCAATTAGCATTTCTGTACCTGGTGAGCAGTTTCTGTCAACATCCAGTTTCATAGGAGAGGGAAACGTAAAATTCCCACGGACCTGGACGTGGCAGCTAGCCAACACAGCACAGCTGTTAAAGGCTGGCTCTCTGGTCACTGCAGCCAACATCCCTGTCCTTTTCTGACGTCATTCCCTGTTTCTCCCCAGTGTCTGCAGCTAGGCCTGTGCCTTGTCTCCTCCAGGGAGATTTGGATGGGGATCTTGAATTTTCTGTGGTAGCTGTAAGAAGGGGATGTTTTAGGGACAATGGAAGCAGGAACAAGATTGGCCAAAGGGATATTCTGCATTCAGGTGAAGCTGTGACCCGGGTCCAAAATAGACAGCCACTGTGCTTGTCCCTGGCAAGACAGATCTGGAAGGTTTGTTACAATGCTGGAGGCTGGGCTCCAATTTCAGAGTTTCTGATTCGGTAGCTCCTGGCTCGAGCCTAAGAATCTGCATTTCTGACAAATACCCAGGTGATGCTAATGCTCCTGGTTTGGGACCACACTTGGCCACTGAGAGAGAGCATGCCTTGAGAGAGTTCTGCTTTTTCCTTCTTCCAACATATTTCTCTTTTGAAAAAGTGCTGGAACCTCTTTATATAAGCCCCTGCCTGACTTGTGCTAACACATTAGCTCCGGGAAAAGAAAAAAAAAATCTATTAAAAAATTGGGTTTCCTAAACAAAAGCAATCTCAAAGCAATGGTACATTGCAACACGCTAATGAATAAAATGATATTCAAAAGGTTGGTGTATATGAGAGTTCCTCCCTTACGACCCAGGAAAATAACTGCACTTTATTAATACAGAATAATCACAATATTTACCTGCTCGTGAGACTATCAACTCACTTTTTAATATAAAGAACATAATTATCACTGAAAAACAAAAATGTAGCAACAGCATTATTTTTTTAAGCATGGGTAATTTTCCTCTGGAAACTTGAGATATGTATATATAGAAAACAGCAATTTTAAATTACCCCCTACACGTTTTTAAACTGACCCCAGTGGATTTCCCACCACTTTGGAAATGGGCAGGGGTCTCTCAAGAAATTCCCATTGACGTGTATTTCCACAATATGCAGATTAAAACAGTGCAGTTGTTTCCCCTTATTCAGAGCAAACATGTTATAATAATAAACTAAACAATTCTAACATGAATTAAGTTGCTTACCTTTGAGCCGCGCTCATTAAAAATAATTTCAACATCTAAGATTTTACCAAATTGCTGTAAAGAAATAGAAATATTTTATAAGCAAAGAGAGAAATGGACTAAATTGTATGATGTACACTGGTATAACTGTTCCCCAAATTTAGATTTTTTCTTCCCTCATTTAATATCAAGGATACACATTTTATATTTTCTACTAGTAAATAATACATTTGAAACATGAAAAAAAACCACATCCACACATAGCATCTCTTGAGTGGCCCTTCGCTACCAGGTGAGGTGTCCCATCAGGGCCTGGTACAAAATATTAATTGGAAGGTTAATTCTGCGTTCCTTTCTTCATGTGCACGAGAGCTTTCCCAGGCACTGAGCAGCAGAGATTTAAAATGGTGAGTCCAGATAATGACCCTCCCAGGCGATTACACTAGCCTCTCGGAGACACAGGCTGGATGCTGTGGGATTCTGATAATTAAATGTCCAGCTACAGTAGGATGGTGAGGGTGTGGGCTCTGAGCTCACATCAAAGCTAAGAACAGCCAGACCATGTGAGGCAAGTCAACTACAGACGCGGAAGCAAGTCCACCATCCAGGTACCCAGCCTCACCAAGACATCCACCCAGCCATGATGACCCAGACTGAAGTGTGACCTCCCTCCCTAGGGGACAGTCATATGGCTAAAGAAATCAGCTTTAGACCAGTAACACAACCAGGCTTTAGGAAAAGTCTGCAAGAAAGTTTCTGTTTAAAAATAAATTGGACAAGCCAGGCGTGAAGGCACACGCCTGTAATCCCATTGGCTCGGGAGGCTGAGGCAGGAGGATCACAAGTTCAAAACCAGCCTCAGCAATTCAGGGAAGCCCTAAGCAACTCAGCGAGACTCTGTCTTAAAAATAAATAAACAAAGTGAAAAAATGAAACCAATGAATTGGACAGACAGATAAAATATAGACACCCTGTCCAACTTAAATTTCAGAATTTCTAGGATAAGTATGTTCCATCAAATATTTAGGACATACTTATGGTTAATATGTGTTATTTGCCTAAAATTCAAATTCAACGAATATGTTTTTTGTCCGTTTTGGTTTTTAACCTGTGAAATCTGGAACTGCTCGTGAGAAGTGTGCACCTAGTAACTTGAGTCTCACTTGGAAACAGGATGTGGCTCTGAGGATGGAGCCACCTGATGACCCCAAGTGCCTTCCCTGGAATTTGGAGTCAGGGTTCTTCTACCCTGTGAAGTAGGGATCCCCTTTCTTGGGTCCAGCACATACGGCTAATGCAGATGGATGGGGTGATGTCCAATGACGCTTCATCATGGAGTGGAACAAATGCCCGTCTTAGTGACGAGAACAAAGAAACAGAAGGACATAAAGAAACATCTCTCATCTATCTTTCTTTAATTTTGTGCTTCCCTATCATTCATTCCATTTGCTTGTGCATTTGAGATTTAATGGCACCTCTCTTGCACTAGGAGAGTATTTCGTCTTTCTCCCATGGGTGGACAGTTAAGCATGCTCCTTAGAGCAGAGGGCAGAGGACTGGGTGGGGTTAAGGACCAGCAGTGTGGAAAGGGGACACAGAGTGAAAACAGAGAGCCAGGGACAGCTCACCTGACCCATGTGCCTCACTTGGAGAGCATCAGGAGACCCAGAGAGCAAAGGTCAAGGGGAGCCTTCTAACATCCAGGAAAGACCCCTCGGAACACCCAGGGGCTATCCTTTAGAGCACACAAGGAAGTCTGCCTTCCTCGGAAAGACAGAAAACACACACAAACACAGGCCTGTAGCCTGTAGGTAGCTCTAAACCTCTGAAAATTATTTTGGCTATGGAATAAAGTAACTCGGGGCTTATCATTCTATGCCATAGAAACTTATCCTACCCAGGCAGGGGATCACCGTCTTCTCCTCCCTGAGCACAAGCCATTTTTCACCGCGGAGACGAGGGAACGGACAGGGAGTAACTAAGAGAGGACATGCAGGACGCACCGCTGGTGGGGACAGCAGACTGCCCTCCAAGAAGCATGCAGCAAACTCACCCTGTGATTTGTGGACAAAGGTTCTTTGGGTCAAAGAAATATTCTTCTTCTTCTTTTTTTTTTAATTAGCATCTTCACTGCCAAGTTTTGGTCAGAGAAAAAACATGATAAAAGAAGAGAAGAAAACCTCCCGGCTTGGGAAAGGAAGGACCGGGCGTGGAAAGGTGAACCGAGTCTTCACGGTGAAGAGCCCTCCAGCTTCACGAGGTCTGAGGTCCGGGATTCTGACACAAGGCCCTCAGTATTCGGTTCTCACAGAGGTGACCTATGTATTTCAGGCCTGAGAGCGCAGGAGCACACAGATTTATGCAAAGGGAAGCCTGAGAAGGACTTCTTCCACCACCAGGAAGCAAATGTACTGGGGAGCCCTCTCTAAGCAGTGGACACCAAAAAACCTCCTTTGAAATAAGATCTGCTGGAGGAGGGAACCGATCACAAAGCAATCTCAGCAGAGGTTGCTCCCTAAATGAAACCATGACACGCTGTGTCCTGCAAAGATCTCAGAGGTTCCCTCCTTTGGCAGTTGCCACGGGGTTGATGGTTCTCCAAGCCAGAGAAACGAGCCCGAAGAAGAATGCTAACGCAAGCCCCATTTCTAAGACAGTTGTGTGCTATATTTATAGTATCAACAGTTTAATTGGGAAGTTTGGTGCTAATGATGTAAACACAGCTGGCACATTTTCAATTTCAACAGACACGACTCATCCCAGCCCTAACTAGTGTGCGCGTCTGCTCAACCGCGGTGTGCGGCAGCCCCGTTCAATAAAGTCTCCAATCCACGCGGAATCCCGGTCGCCGTATCAAGAGCAAAATCCGGAAGCTTAGCAGCACGCACTTGGGCAAACATGTACCAAGCACTTTTAGACATCCTCAGATCAAATACTATTTCTCTGAAAAACTGTGAAGGATGTGCAATGGATACAGCATAAAACACGAAGGTAAAGGTTAGTTCAAAGCGTGGGCAGAGAGCCTAAGAGAGCACGGACTTCCCAGTTCCCCTAAGGTCTGCTTCAGTGTAGAAGCAGGGGGTTCCTTGCCATGTCCCCCCAAATGACTTCACTCCTCATGACACCACGGTAGATGGAACTTTGCATTCTCATTGCAGGTACGAGGAAGCCCGTCCGTTATATTCATCAGGTGAGATCATGAAAGCATCTTTCACACATGTTGACAAATCGTACCTCTGTTTGTCAGTGACATTAAATAGAAACTTGAGTGGCTCCTTCTCTTGCCCAGAGGGTCGGCATCTTGATAACAAAAGCAAGGCTGTGACATCCATGAGAGTTCTTTGCAAACTGGAGATCCGGAGTCATCGAGCAACTGTCTCTGCAAACAACTTTATGATGGTGTGAGCTGTTGCAGAGATTCTGCTGTGCTGTGACCCGTGCCTCTCATCCCAAACCCAGGGTGCCCAGGCAGTTCAATAACATTTAAGATATTGAACTCATGAAAATTCCTATTTGGGAGGAACACACTGCAATCAGTTTGGTGGAAATCCTCAAATTTCTTTCATGGGATCAAAAACCTGAATGCAGGATCCCTCACATGCAGACACACCCAACAGGTGTGGGCTGGACAGGGCTGGACCAATAAAGCTTCCAGAAGATGTCTGGAATCATGGCCCCTAATACTATGAGACAGCCACGTGCTCGCGCCCCCCTGCTGCCTTGGAATGGCCCTGGCTTCTGTATACAGTAGCCACCTAACTCCTTGACCAATGAATGGCCCGTCTTATATGAAAAAAAGGAAAAAGAAATCTAACATGAGCCAGAAGATTAGAAGCCACACATTGGAAGAAGAGCATCCTAAAGAGAAGGAAGTAAAGGGAAGAAGAGACGGCGGGTGGGGGTGGGGGGAGGAACCAGGATTCCAATCCCAGTGAAGAGGCTGCAGCCACCGAAGTAAAAGGGGCACCGCCTGAGGAACCCTCAGAAGCAGGGATGGTTCCAGAAGGCGTCATGAACGCGGCAAGTTTTAGGCAATTTGAGAAAAAAAAAAAAAGAGGTTGTTTTTTGTGTCCTGATTTTTTATTTGTTAGTTTGTTTTGGGGTTTTATTTTTATTTTTATTTTGGTACTAGCTGAGGTTTGGGGTATTGAACCCAGGGGCACGTAACCACTGAGCCACATCCTCAGCCCTTTTTATTTTTTAATTTTGAGACAGGGTCTCACTAAATTGCTGAGGTTGGCCTTGAACTTGTGATCCTCCTGCCTCAGCCTCCCAAGCCACTGGGATGACCCATGTGTGTCATCGTGCCTGGCTTTGGTTTTGTTTCAACTGTGAAATCTCCGTGGCCAAATTTGACAAAGGAGACGAGGGGGTGGGAGCAGAACGATCTTTGTGTTTTTCTCTAATTGTCCTCATTGTGACCCCTGCCAAAGTGAGGGGACAAAGATGGACACAGTGCCTGAGACATGAAGATGTCTCGTGTCCCTAGGACTTGACAAACTCCTAGCTGGATGAAATGGGATTTCTTACAGTCACCATGACCTGAAAGAGGAAGTTACGTTAAATCCCCTGTACCCCAGCAGCGAGCCAGCCAGCGTGTCACAGATGCCTTTCAGTGTGATTCACGCTGCTAAACGCATCCTATAACAAGATACGGCTTTGCGACCACCAGGGTTTGGCCAAGAAGAACAGATTTTTAGAGCTTAAATTGTGTTTCTTTAGAATGATGTTGTAAACCAGGAGGCCTCAGAGTTATTGCAAGGGGCCCAGGAATCCAGATGTCCCCAGTAATTTTTATAGTTGAGTCCCACAAAACAAAAAAAAACAACCCTCACATTCTTTTTAAAATGGACACAGATGCTGTATGTGATGCCCAGAATTAATTTCCGTGTTAATGAATGTAACTGCATTTTCTTAATTGAGAGATCCTAAGTGTTTTTATCCTCTTGCCGAATCGACATCTTGTTATTACTTGAATGTTGACTTAAAAAAAAAAGATGCTCTGACACCAGTAGATTTTGATCAAGGTTTGATAACGGGTAGTGTGACATTTGGGCAAGTTTCTTTTCCTAGACATCTGCCCTGCCTCTATAAGAACAGAGAGGTTCAGACATTAATGTAAGCAGGATCCCCTCTCTGTGATTTCTAGCTGTGAATGTTTTGAATACCACTCTGACTTCGCAATGTAGACTCAGGTAAATTTCAAGACCAGGGAGGGAAACCACCCTAAAGGGTGGAAATGGGGGTGTGCCAATGCACAGGACACCAGGAGAGTGTCAGGATGGTCGTTAAGGGGCTCGAGTTCAAAGCCCGCATCAGAGTGTCACTTGATGAGGGAAGATAGGCTGAACAGCAAGACGTCTTTCTAACCTGACATTGCAAAGAGAATATAATTCCTCTGACTGTCCATCATTCAAAACCCGTCTCACTGCTTTGCACACACTTAACCTCAGACTCTAACTTTGAATGCTCTGCACTTTTCAAAGTCATCTTTGACCTGAAAGTGCCCGAGGGTATCTCTGTTCTGCAAGAGTTAGAGGGCTTAACTCAAGGTTATTACCAAATGAGAGAGATAAAAGTGCAGAAGTTGACCTTTTCCTCCGAAATGTCAGGATTCGAGCCTGGGTATCTTAAATATTAGGATGCCTGTTCTGCTTTTGTGTCAAATGCATACTTGATAAGCATCATGTGTGTTAAAGAAATAAAAGGTGCAAGCTCAGCCCCAAATCACAGAGCACTTGAGTGAGGACCCCGAGCTCCCCTTTTCATGTAGAGAACAATACCAACTCTGCTCAGAACAAGGCATTCACTGAGTGACTTCTGGTTCCTTCCGTAACGTTGGCATGCATCCACCTACTCTTAGCAGGGTCTCCAAGCAGCCCACTTTTGCTGGAAATCAAATGTTAAGGATGTAGTTCTTTTCATCGAATCCACAGGCCCTCACTACCATGGCTGAGACATTGTGGACAAAGGCACTGACCACATCTGCAAAAAGCAAACACTACCCGAGTCCTCTCATGGCTTTGTCCTTTGATGGAGAGATGTCAAACTCATCCTTTCCCAAGGTGGAGCGTTCAGATACCTTCCAGAAAAAGAATCAGTGTCAAGATGACCTATGAGCGAGAAAAACTGTCGTTTATTTTCTCGGGGTGGGTGGTGGCTTCTGACCCGTTCTGTTTCACCAGGGTGCCTGGGCAAGGCTGTCCTTTGTCAACAACTCTGAGTCCTTGTCCCTGATGCCAAGTGCAAGAATCAAATCAAATGAATTATACCTGGGCGGGGGGAGGATTGTCATTGTTCTTGTTGTTTGTTTCTTTGTTTTAAACTAAGTTTTAAGCAGAAGGAATCATCCTACTGCAGCCGTGTCCCGAAACTTAAATGATCAGTGCCTGGGAAAGAGCGGGGAAACGCAGAAACATGTCACGAGTCACCTTTCCGGGAAAAGCTGGCCACCTCAATAGCAAGCAGGACCATGATGATGGCCAATGTTTCTTTTAGCTATGACCTGAGCTCCCAGGCCACTGAGCTTGGGATCGTCAATGGGCTTGTGTCAACAGTGGGTGATCTAAAGTTCATTTTCCATTTGATATTCAAGTTACTTTTTAGAAAACCATTTGGCAAAATAGAAACACAGTGAGCCTAAGCAGAACAGATCTACTGCAGCCCTAGAGGGGTCCTGGGCACCGTGTTCCAGCAGACGGCCTCTAACACGCCCCCGCCCACCCCGGGGACATACGTCACCTTAGTACTGGGCACAGACAGAACTCATGGGAGGAGGCGAGCTCTGGGGGCGCTGGAGGAGAGAGGCGGTACTTACACCAAACATTTGCCGGAGGTCTGGATCCCGGAACCGGAAGGGGATATTGGAGACATGCAGGCGCTTGGGCTGAGACTTGTTTTCTGTGTTTTCAGAAGGCTGCGTCTGGGGCTGGCCATCCGGTGGTGCTGCGTCATCTGTCTGCTAAAGGGACAAGAGGAAAGCAGAGTCTCTTGAGTGGACCCAGATGCTCTGTCCCAGGCATGCCTCCCCACCCCCCTCACAGTAGACAAAATGGCAGAAAAAGAACAAGAGGAGGAAGTGCTCAGATGTCCCTCCACCTGTGTTTTTTGAGCATCCACTGGGATCTGGAATTCGGCAGAGAGAAACGCAGAGCAAAACCCTTGCCTATGTGGAGCATGATTTTTTGTGGGAGAAAGAGAACAAAACCCATAAACAAATGTAGAGTTGGAAAGAGGAGATGCGGAGGTAGTGGAGAAAATTAAGGAAGGGAAGGGGTGGAGGGGCTGGGGCAGTGCCAAAGTCTTCATTAAGGGTTATCATTATTCCTTAACCAGTGTGGCTCCGAGTCTTAAGATATACCTTCCTAATCACTAAGGTGCACTGAAAAAATACTAAGAAATGCCCCAAATTTGGAAATGCCATTCAGCATTCTGTAGCTCAAGGAATCAGCTGATGATCTGTTTTTAAGGGTCAAATTTAGTTTCTTAGTTGTACAGACCGGTGCTATCTTCCACTATTGACCACATTTGCCTTTTAAATTTAAGTGAATTTAAATTTAAAAGTGCAAAATGTGTTTGCCTGCACTGGCTGCATTTGAAGTCCTCATCAGCCACATGTAGCTAATGGTTCCCTCTTGGACAATGGAGATATAGATAGAGGGCTTGATCTCCGTAGAAAGTTCTGCCAGGCTACACTGGCACAGATGACCTAAGGTTACGAGTGTAATGCATTACCCCCCGACCTGCCCTTGCCTGCAAAAAGTTAAGCCTGGATAACATGAGGGTACACCAAAATCCTTGCAAAGGCTGGAACTGGGAAGAAGACACAGTTATGGGGTATTACTGAGCTGGTATCCTTTCAGATAGACTTCATTTTTAGGTACTTTCTCTGCAATTCGCTTATGCTGCCTAGAGGGGGCAGTCGGTGCCACCGACATCAGATAACCCACTTCTTTGAAGTGGGAGATGGAGAGTCTATGCCAAAGCCCATCGAATTTATGAGCAAGGAATCATCCTCACCTATTTATAAGCCATTTAGAAGCATATAACCGAGACAAAACCATCAATGCAGGCAGCCAGGTGTAAAATAATGGAGACTTAGCAAAGGAGACAATCTTACAGAGTGAAATGTAAAAGAAACATCCAAATCACACGGGCTTCATTAGCGACGTTCTCATCAGCCCTGGTATTTAGTGGACGATTTCATTTGCGTTCTCTTTCCAAACGCACCCCGAATTGCATCTTAAAGTCAAGACCTCCTGCGGGCTGAAAAAACCCTTCTTCTGAGCGGCACTGGTATCGACCATCCGCCCAGGTGACTTCTTCGACGTGCAAGGAAACACCAGGATGAGAACAATGAGGAAGTCATTCTGCCTGTGCCGTGACAGGGACAGGAAGAAGGATGGCCTGAGTCTCTTAACCAGAGCATGACAGGTAATGAGCCTGCGCCCCTCACAAGGCTTTGTGGAGACCGAACGCCGGCATCTGTGCCAGCTCGGGGTTGCTCTTGGCCATGGCATACGATGATGCGTGCAGAGTGCTCCGCTGTATGGAGTGACGATGATCTCAGGAACGTCAAGAGAGGAGGAGAGCTCCCGTGGGAAACACAGGGGAAAGCTTCTCATTCGCTCACTCGACACACCTTTAATGAGCAACTGCTATGGGCTGACCACATAAGTCAGTTCTCCGTTCCATGAAGTTCCCAGGTGAGTGCAAGAGAAAGGCAGAAAAAGACAATTATCAACACAGGTGGCTCGGTGCTGGGGTGAGAGCGAATCGCACAGGGCTGGGTGACCTTAGGGCAGGGACATAGCCCAGCCAGAGATCCAAAGGCACAGCGATGCTGGAGGTTCAGTTTGAAGTGGGAGATGACTAAGGCCTAAGGGGACTGAAGCCGGCCAAGAGAGCAAGAAGCCTGCAACACACAGGGATGTGAAATGATGCTTAGGGTGCAGAGGCCCAGGAGGACCTTGACGTCGCTAGTTAGAGGGGGCACACGTGAAGGACAGGAGGTCGAGGAGGCAGGGGCTTGGCTCTCCAGAGACCCTGTGCACAGAGCAAGCGTCTGAATTTCCCAGCAGCTCGATGACCCTAGCAGGAGTGACCAGCAGTGACACGAGGAGTAAATGTCCTGTTTAGCGGCTGCCTACACAGGGACCGACTGGCCGAGGGCGTGAGCACCCTGACCACCGCAGGTGCTCATCAGAGCAGCAGGCAGCTCTGAGACCCGGACAGAGCAGGAGCGAGACCCTCGCTGGAGTTCTGAGGCTTTCTCCCACACTCGCGGCACAGAGGTGACCTTGAGTCGTGACACCATCAATTTCCAGGGGCTTGAGGGGCTTCAGCCCCCTAGCACAGGACTCTAAGTGGGCAAAAGCAGCCGTGGAGACCCCCGAACATCCAGGCCAACTTTTCCAGCCCCAGAGAAGCTGACATTTGAAGGCAAAACCAAAACGAGCTCCTTCCCATCACGAGGAGGGGACTTAGATTTGGATTCGTGCACAACTGCTGGATGTTTCAGTTTAATGAACCTAATTAGGAATTACAGAGATTATGATTAAACATATTAAATGATTAATAGCATTATGCCGCTCATGTGAAAATTAAAATTAATCATCTCTAGTCAAACAGGACTTCGGAGAAATCTTTGCGTTGTTTCCTTTGATAAAAACACACAACGCTCAATTAATCATTTTGTAGTGTGTGCATTTGTACAAATACCCACATATTGCGACATAGGAATACCTGTGTTTAAAGTAATTCCTCCTGTGTTGCGGAGTGATATTGGCCATATCATACTGTTATATCGTGCACATACACAAATACAGCTCAACCAATCCTGTCATTATGTACAACTCCAGTGCACCAATAAAAAAGGTGGAAAAAATGATTCTTAGGGAAAATATGTAAAATTAAAAATTAAACTATCTCAGACCTTTGAGGGTGCATGAAAAGGGAAGAAGAGGAGTCAGGGGTCCAAAGGACAAGAAAGAACAGAAAAAGAAATCTCTTTCAAACTGAGCTGCCTGGGTGTGCAACATGCTGTTTGACCAGGCACCAGGTAACCAGGTCACACACGCTGGGGGAGCCTGTCCCCATAATCTGCTGACCTTAGGCAGGTCACATCAGCTCTGTTTATTCACAGTGGAACAAACCCCACAGCCTAGGGGTGAGGGACACATGCAGCAGCAGGTTTGGGAGGCAGCTGTCACCTGCCTGGAGCCCTCTGGGTTTGGACTGAGCCAGTGGGCCTCACTGACCCTCGAGAGGAAGGCCAACTCCTCCTCCTCCTCCCACTTTCCTGGGAGCTTTCAGGGGAAATGAGCTGAGGACAAGCCTGTGTTCTGGGTCTCTGCTACGGTTGGGATCTGGACGTCCTCTACAGGCCCATGGGCCGCAGGTTTGGTCACTAGCTTGTGGCACATGTGGGAGGTGTTGCCTTACGGGAAGAAGTGAGGTCGCTGTGGGCATGTCCTTGAATGGGATATTGGGACACAGGTCCTTCCTCTCTCTGCATCTCAAATGCCACGAGGTGTACAGGCCTCTGCCACCACACCCTCCTGCTGTAGTGTGCTACGCTGCCATGTGCCCAGAGCAACAGGGCCAAGGGACTTGGACTGAGACTCTGAAGCCAGGAACCAAAATAAACCTTTCCTCTTTATAAGTTGAATATCTCAGGTGTTCTGTCACAGTGACACAGAGCTGACTAACGTGGAATGCAAGGTGAGTTTCTTTTATGACCACTTCAGTGGCTTAAAGCAACAGAATTTTCTTCTGTCACATTGAAGAGGCCAGAAATCTGAAGTCAGAGGGCCAGGAGGGTCCCACTCCTTCCTGAGGCTCCACAGGAGTGCTCCCTCACCTCTTCTGGCTTCTGAAGTCCTCGGGCATTCCTTGCTCTGGGCTCCATATCCCTCCTGTCCACTTCTACCCACATGTGGCCATCTTCCCTGTGTCTCTCACTCTGCTTCTGTTTTCTCTTCTTATAAGGACACCGGCCACTGGTTGTAGAGCCTCTCCTAAATCCAGGATGACATCTGCAAAGACTTCTTCTCCCAAATAAGGTCACGTGTATTCACAGCTCACAGAGGTCAGAACGTGGACGTGTTTCTTAAAGGCCACCATTCAATTCACTACAGTCCCCTGTCAAACAAAAACGCCACTGTGTACTTGGCACCAGGGACGGTGTTTTTACCACCTCTAGGAGCACAAGGTCCTGGAAAAGGTCAACTTCAAACCAGGTCCAAAAGGAGGGAGACTGCCCCATCCAGGGGTGGCCCAGGCTCCCCTGTGTCAACAGAGGACACTTTAACGAGACCCTGAGCAGAGGGGGCACTTGGCCCTGGACTCAATGGCGGCGCTCAGTGGGGTGGCAAAGCCCTCCATTGGCCTTGGGATGGGCCGTCCACACTCCAGGCCCTACTCTGTAGGTTCATTAAGTAGTTAGTATGTACCTGTCCTGGGATAATGACCTCAGGATCTCTGTGACTGGTTAGGTCCCATGCATACAGATGTGGCATTATCAAATCATGGTGATTATTAGCAGCACGCTTAACCCCCGGCTTCTGTTCTATGCTTCTCAGGCCCGTGAATGTGTCCAAGTCTGAGATATATGGACGCCTCCATGACCCCAAGTGGACGGGAGGTCCTTTAGCCCCAAGAGGCGGCCTCACGGGCAGAACTTGGCAGAGGCCCTGGAATAAGCCCCTCAGGACCACAAGGGCCGCCCTGGCGCTGGCCCCGGGTGAGGGCCCTAATAGGAGGCGGGTGTTTGCCGCAGAGTTTTCCTTAATAAACAAACTCCCCAGGTATCAGCGCAGGTTATAAATGTTAAGAAAACACCACTGGTACTTTCATCTCCTGAAGATCACTTAGTGCTTCCACAAAGACCTTAATAAAGACCCGCGGGGCTCCCTCTGCTATAATCGCTCCTAATTCAATGAATAGCTCTGAGCAACCCCC